CCATCCCATCAGCTACTGGTGGGGGTGGTAACCAGTCAAAACTCGAATCTCCTGCCCCAAATACTGTTTTGCTTGTCAACTGTCAAAACAGAAAGACATACAGTCAGGGACAAAAATGCACATGTCCAGAAGCAGACTTATTTTTGCCGAATATGCAATATTCAGATGGGCACTTTGCACATTCCTGGGAGTGCACCATCTCAAAAAATCAGAAAGGAAATGTCACTGCAGAAATTCAGAGTCACTGTGTCCTCAAGCCCAGCCTGGCTGGGGATGAGGGAAGACCCTAGCTCCTTTCACGGTGGAAAAACAACTCTGAACCATTTCAGAGTCGCCCAGTTTGAGGTGCTGAGATATTTCACACAAAAAGCTGGCCAACTTATTACAGATCCACTGGGAAAGGAAAACATGCAAGGCTAATGCAGTATATTTCATTCCTTTCCACTAACACACTCCCACATTTTTGAACTCTTCATCACTCCTTTGCAGAAGCATCACTTGCACAAATAAAGTAAAACAGAGGTTACACAAGATCAGAGAAAAGAACATTATCATATTTTAGTGTTAAACCAGAAGTGCTGGGGGAGGAAGCATATTGGAAGCTGGGGGAGGAACAAATTGTACAGGGCTTTGCAATATCCTTCCTGTGTGTAGAAGGCACAACCTACAGAGCATAAAAAGCAACTGTCCTCCTTCTCAAGGGACAGGTGTTAGAGGTAAAGGTCAAAGTAAAGGACCCCTGGACGGTTAAGTCCAGTCAAAGGTGACTATGGGGTTGCGGCGCCCAACTTGCTTTCAGGCGAGGGAGCCGGCGTTTGTCCACAGACAGCTTTCCAGGTCATGTGGCCAGCATGACTAAACCGCTTCTGACACAATGGAACACCATGACAGAAACCAGAGCGCATGGAAACACCATTTACCTTCCTGCCACAGTGGTACCTATTTATCTACTTGCACTGGTGTGCTTTCAAACTGCTAGGTTGGCAGGAGCTGGGACAGAGCAATGGGAGCTAACCCCCATCGTGGGGATTCGAACCGCCGACCTTCTGATCAGCAAGCCCAGGAGGCTCAGGGGTTTAGACCACAGCCCCACCTGCCACCCAAGGTGTTTGAAGCACAAGAGCAAATGTTCAGTCTTTGTGCTAGTGTTTTTCATTTGGTCTTATGGTCCCTTCATATATTCCCAAGTGGAACATCTCCCTATGTATAAAGCCTTCAGGGTAGGAACAGCCGGAAAACTAACAGATGCACTTCAGGGACATATTTCAAGAACACACATACGTGTAAACACACATATTTAAAAAGATGTTTTCTGCATATTTTATTTGTTTGTTGAAAGTTAAATATCTCTACATTTACTTCTCAGCTCATGAAAGAAAGCAACATAATGTTATGCAAAGAAAGCTCCATGCAACCCTCCCATAAACATATTTGCCTGACTGAGTGCTTAGCAAAACTGCCGCAGAATACATCAGACGTTAGCATTCAGCAATAACATCTCAGTCACTCTCTCGAGAAAAATCATCTCCCTATTACATTCTGTAACAAAACAAAATGACAGACGCTGCGGACACTTTCTCGATATAAACTATGAGGATAGTGCAGTCCTGTGGTGCCCATTTAATACTGGTGTGCTGAATCGAGCCAAAAGCAAAAAAATAAATAAAAAATGTATGTTCTGGTCTGTAAAAAAAGAAAAAGAAAAAAAGAAAAGAAAAGCTTCGTTTTCCTGCAAGAAGCTAACCACATCATAAGCCGTCCTGAAGAACACAACCGTTTTCTATGCAAGGCTCAGCAGTTCATCACTGCAGCCAACCAAACTGTATATCCAACCACTTCCCACTCTCTTATGTGCCAAGAAAGTTCTCTCTCATCTAGAATTTACTCGTAGTTTTATTAATATAGAGGTGAAATGTGTCTCTAATCTATACTTTTAAAGTTGATGGTATAAAAATGGCAAAGAAACTAACATGCCCAGAGTGTGGAGAAAAAGGAAGACAGTCATACCTCATGTTACGTTTGCTTCAGGTTGAGCGTTTTCAGGTTGCATCCCACGGCGACCCGGAAGTACCGGAAAGGGTTACTTCCGGGTTTCACCGCTCGCGCATGCGCAGACGCGCAAAATGACGTCATGCGCAGAAAAGGCAAATCGCGACCTGCGCACACGCAGATGCGCAGACTCAGGTTGCGTTCTGCTCATGTTGCGAACGGGCCTCCGGAACGGATCCCGTTCGCAACCAGAGGAACCACTATACTCTTTGCATTACTCAGGAGCGCTTACTCAGCTCTGATTGCAGCACCAAGATCCAAAAACTTGCTTTAAGCCAGCAGGTGGCTCGGTTGCACCCTGAGCAAGATTTTTTATTCCACCATTCCAACTCAGTTTTGAAAGTAGCCTCCATTTGCGCGCGCGCACACACACACACAATAAAAAGACGTTCTGCCATGGGGCAAGTGGTTCTGCTGCTCCCCGCATCCCAGTCCCATGAAACTAAGTTCTGTGGTTCTCTGAATCCGCGCATTTGTTTAGAATAATTCGATCAAGCGTGACATGCGTTTGGAGACCTTCTGATTATTGGCTTCCTGTAAAAACAAGTTTAATGGTTGCAAACTTCACAATGTGAGGGGGTGGAATCTACATGGCAGAGGGTGTTGTGAGAAGTCCTAGGGAAATGAGGTATATTGCTCCAATCCCATAATAGTTCTAGTGCATCTGATCCACACCCACCCACTTTGAGAAGAGTCCAAACATTTGTGCCCTCGTATAATGGAATCCAATCCACTGAGAACAGAAAAGGATGAAAACTGTACTCAATAAATAATAATAATGTTGTATTCACACCTTCCTTCTGTTCCTTTCTAGGGCATTATAAAGATTGATATCAAATGCTAAGGGATTGCCTTCCTTATGCACACAAGTGATGATTAAGCATGGTGAAGACTTTTAAAAATCAGCCACTATGAAATGAAAGCCAATTCGAAGGGGGCCTGTTAGGCATTGCCAAAAAAATATCTACATCACACACCCCAAATAAGGACAAACAAGAATACCAGTTTGCATATGGTCATTTATATGTACAGGCACAAACTTAGAAAGAATTGTTGTAATTTAAGCAGGAATACAATACATCTCACCCTAGTGGGGAAGACATTGTGCCTCTGTTCAGCTGACGGTCAACTTTCAGGCTGCTGCTTCCCCATTTTATGGTTCATTATCTTTAATCTTTTATGGTTTACTATCTTGGACTGGGGGACGCGGGTGGCGCTGGGAGTTAAACCACAGAGCCTAGGACTTGCCGATCAGAAGGTTGGCGGTTCGAATCCCCACGACGGGGTGAGCTCCCGTTGCTCGGTCCCCGCTCCTGCCAACCTAGCAGTTTGAAAGCACGTCAAAGTGCAAGTAGATCAATAGGTCCTGCTCCGGCGGGAAAGTAAATGTCGTTTCCGTGCGCTGCTCTGGTTCGCCAGAAGCGGCTTAGTCATGCTGGCCACATGACCCAGAAACTGTAAGCCGGCTCCCTCGCCAATAAAGCGAGATGAGCGCCACAACCCCAGAGTTGGTCACGACTGGACCTAATGGTCAGGGGTCCCTTTACCTTTACGTTATCTTGGACTGGACAGTCCTCAAATAAAGGACACCTTCAAACAGAGGACTCACAACCCTTCAAAACAGAGGACTAACATGCCACAGGATTAAGCTAACATATATTTCCACATAATGTCCATGTTTTTAGCCATTAAACGTGTCACTATAATTTTTCACCGAAAGGCCCTCCTATATAATATTTTGAGGGAGTTAACACAAGGTATATGCCTACAATTTTTGAGACTACACTTCAGATTTGAAATCCTACTGACACTGTTCTAGAGTGGTTAAAAATATAAAGATTTATGTTATATGGTGCAGAGATCCCATAAACCAGCAAGAAAGACATACTTTATTCTATTTTGCAATTTATGTTACCTAGAGCACTTATAACTTTCCTCCTGGCAATGAGATAGACATTTTTTAGGAGACATATGCTCTTTTAAAAATGAGAATGACTAATATTCTGAGCCGCACAAACCCAAACATTTTTGCTTTCCAGTGATAAACAAAGATATGGTTTGTTGCCATTCTGTTGTAAACGGAGTTAATGAGCTCAACTGGCGTGGGGGGGGGGCCTCTGTCAGTGCAATGAATGTGATAAGCCCAGAAGCTGCAGAGTGGAATCGAAGAAACCTCTGGTCAAGAGACTGGCTCATGATGGAGACAGGCCTGAATGCCCATCTTGAGAGCAGAAATGCTTTTCTGTGTGAGAAGCAGAAATGCTGACAAGGCCTTAAATGAGCTAAGACACAGCGCTATTGTAAAAAAAGGTACAAGTCTCCATGTAGCTTAGCAGAGCTGGGTGATCATCATGAATTCCCCCTGTAACCCGATAAGGCTTGGTATCATGTTAGCCCCTAAAACAATGGGGAACTGCTTCTGCAGGTGTCCGTCCTGTGATTGACCAATATATTATTGTTTCAACATTTTTAATGTTTGCTCTCCTACGCTCCTTTGGGAGAAAGGGGACAGTAGAAATGAAATAGAGTGGTACCTCAGGTTACAGACGCTTCAGGTTACAGACGCTTCAGGTTACAGACTCCGCTAACCCAGAAATAGTACCTCAGGTTAAGAACTTTGCTTCGGGATGAGAACAGAAATTGTGCAGCGGCGGCAGCGGGAGGCCACATTAGCTAAAGTGCTACCTCAGGTTAAGAACAGTTTCAGGTTAAGAACAGACCTCTGGAATGAATTAAGTTCTTAACCCGAGGTACCACTGTAAACAAATACTATCAATCCTCCTGAACCTGTTGAAGGTGCCATGATGGGAACAGCTAACATGGTGCCCTTCAAGTGTTGTTCAACAACAACTCCCATCATTCCTAATCATTCACTGGGCTGGGTGGGGCCGATGTGAACCAGAACCCAACAACATCAGGGAGGGCACCATGTTGACTAGACCCTTTCTTACCTCGTGGTCGGAGAAGAGCCGGACACCTTCCAGCTGGTGGAAGACTGGATAGTGGGTGCTATCGATCTGATCTCGACGGTAAACATCTCCCACAACCAGAAAGGCATCGAGTCCCGAGTGCATCAAGTCCCACTGGTGGGCAGATGTGTGGGCTCTTAGGATGTGGGTACGATTCAGGTAGTAGTTATCCCCTTTCTTCCTGCTAGGGTGGTCTTTTGGAATGAGCAGCCTGTCAAAATTCTGCTCAACGGTGACCACCGGAGGCATATCATCATACACAGAGAAGAGTGGCGTCCCAAAGCGCCCAATATATTGCTTGTAGAAGTGGTCTTTCACACGCTCTTTCATCAGCCACAAAGGGTGATGCCTTTGGTTGTGCAAGTTTTCCCCCACCTTGGAAAGAATCTTCTTTGTGACGTTGGTGTAGTCATCTGGGAGATAAGATTTGCCAAGAACTTCCACCGCGTCTGTTCCGGAGGTGCTGGCAGCGAAACCTGAAGATATTCGCCGGCACCATGCAGGACTGAAACTGGAAGGTCTTCTTCCCAGAAGTCCCCATGATGGAACCATTCTGCCACAGCCGAGTATTTGCATGGATGCAGCCATTGCAGGGTTCTTTATATGCTGGAGGAAGTAGAAAATCAAATGCAAATAATGATTTCTGATTGCAGTACACACGCAACCTTTGATATGAAATACAGTGGTACCTCTGGTTGCGAATGGGATCCATTCCAGAGGCCTATTCGCAACCTGAAAAGAATGCAACGTGCGTCTGCGCACGTGCGGGTTGCGTTTCGCCGTTTCTGCGCACGCACATGACATCATTTTGCGCATCTGCGCATGCGCGAGCGGTGAAACCCAGAAGTAACCCGTTCCGGTACTTCCAGGTTGTCACGGGATGCAACCTGAAAATGCTCAACTAGAAGAAAACGTAACATGAGGTATGACTGTATATGAGTTTTAGTCTACTCAGTCACAAAGAAAAGCTGATGAAATTATTCCATCACAGTTCTATAATGTAAGAAAATTATTAATGCTTTGGAAGTGCAGCAAAAACTAGCAGTGGTCCAGAGACAAAGTGGTGGGAACCCTGTTGTTGTTGTTGTTAGACAAGTGGGTTGGGAAAGAGTCCTTCCCAGGACTTTGGGGAGCAGAGGCTACCAGATATGTTAAATAGCACTGTTCTAAATGGACCAAGAAATATGTTCATTTTAACTTCCCATTGAAGCAAGCCAAAGCAAATCACCTACCTGGACAAACAGCACCATTTTGGAACATCAGAAGATGCGTGCCTCTCAAATAGTGTTGATAAACAAGATATGCCCAATAGACGTTGACTGATTGTATTCCAGATACAGTCTTTGAAAATGCGGCCAATAATTCTCATACACGAGAAGCAATTCAAGGATAATTTATGTGGATTCTTCTGTCTCTCTGCAGGAGATTGCCAGCCAATTACTATGGGAAGGAGAAAGAGGTAAATAACGTGAATGTTGAGTAACAAAGACCATGATCAAAAACATTTGTAATTTCTTCACAAAGCTTTCCCATAATGGCTGATTGGGATGCAAAGCTGCAGTAAAAACTGAGTCATCCCATTTGTACTCTCTACTGCCTACTTCACCAAACTGTATACTGAACAAAAAGCCACAAGCTCACACCTTGTCTACCCACCCTACACAAAACTCGGACTGAGAGCCAGGGAGCTAATCTGAAGTCTGCCTCACTCAACCTCTTGCCCTCTTCTGCTGACCAGATGGTGGGTGAGAAACATTCCAGGAACTCACCTGCCCGTGCAGGAGAAGGCAAATGCTACATCTAGTTGCTAGAAGATTACAAATGGCGGCAGCAGAAGACTATCCGGCTCCACATATTCCCTCATGAAGAGGATTATAAGTGAATCAGGCCTCAAATATGGCCAATTTGCAGGATTAGATAGGCCAGGTGTCAAGGGGGAGGCATCTAGGGCCAGTGCTAATGTTAGGCAGTTTGAAGCCATCGCCTCAGAAGGCGAACGGATTGGAGCAGTAGCTCCTGGCTGTTCCTCCTGACTTCCTACCCCTGCCAGCCATTTCCCTCTGCTGCCATATATCCTGTCCTGCCCCCAGTAATCTGGGTGTCTGTCTTAGGTGCAATGGAGGAGGCTATTCCATCACTGGTGTTCAAAGGAGATTCACCTGCAAGTCTAGTCAGCATCACAGTGTCCTTTACCCCAGGCAGCAAAATGTCTTGAGAGAGCCCTAGATGCATCACTGGGCACCCACAACCTCCTGGTCCAAGTCAGATGGATTCCTTAGGTTTTGCACCAAGATTCTTTTTCTCAATTAACTATAACTACTACTATAAATGGTAAGCATCTCCCAAATTCCTATGTTTCATTAGCACTCTTTCTTGGAAATCATTGCTGATGGGCTCCAGATGGACTATTAAATATACAATTTTTTTGTAAACTGACAGGTTGGGCCCAAATCCCTTAAAGCCGTTCATTTCTCCCTTCTGTCCAAAAAATACTTAATGGACAGAAAATCCCTAAAAACCCTGAAATGCTGTGGAACATATGAGGAAAGTAAGGCTGCCTTCTTTTAGTGATCTGACAAACTTCTGTTGCGCAAGAGAAGTTCTACCAGTGTAACATATGCTAAAAACAAAATACCGGTAATAGACATATGGTAAGATTACCAAGATTGGGCATTTACCAAGCTGTTTAGCAACTCAACTAGGAACTTTTTTTTTCCAGCATGCAAACTTGTCTGAGCATAAGGTTGTAAATGCTATAGTTGATGATATAAAGGTAAAGGTAAAGGTACCCCTGCCCGTACGGGCCAGTCTTGATAGACTCTAGGGTTGTGCGCCCATCTCACTCAAGAGGCCGGGGGCCAGCGCTGTCTGGAGACACTTCCGGGTCACGTGGCCAGCGTGACATCGCTGCTCTGGCAAGCCAGAGCCGCACACGGAAACGCCGTTTACCTTCCCGCTAGTAAGCGGTCCCTATTTATCTACTTGCACCCAGGGGTGCTTTCGAACTGCTAGGTTGGCAGGCGCTGGGACCGAGCAGCGGGAGCGCACCCCGCCGCGGGGATTCGAACCGCCGACCTTTCGATCGGCAAGCCCTAGGCGCTGAGGCTTTTACCCACAGCGCCACCCGCATCCCAGAGTTGATGATATACTTTGCTTAAATCATCTCTGGTTAAAATGGGACATAAATTAGGAAAAGGTAACATACAATTCACAGGCTATGCGCAGCCCAGAGACATCAGAACTTTGTTTAATGGTGGTTCTAAGAAAGGTGCTAATGTGCATTAACTATTACGATTAGTTATTTCTGGGAAGAAGAGGCTAATTCGAATTATCTACCTTATTTACTAAAATGTAATGTGCACCTTTTTGGCCAAATTATGTCGTGAAAATTAGAGTGTGCATTAGATTTGATGGCACATTTACATTCGCCAGCAAATACTTTTTTGGTTTTAATGTTTTGAAAATTGAGGTGCGTATTAGATTTGATGGCTCATTAGAGTCACGTAAATACGGTTCTTCAGTTTTCCAGGACTGCCCCTATCCTCTGAACCATGCCAAAGGAGCATGGGCTAGCTATTGTAAGCAAAAATTGAGGTGCTCAAGTAAACTGGTACACTTGGGAGCAGAAGCTGTGCAGAATACAAAACTATCAATCAATCAAAATTTATTATACAGTCACAGAAAGGTTAAAAACAAGGCAGAATACCAAGAACACTGTGTTTCTGACAGAAATTCAAATAAAATACATATATAGAAACAGTGGGGAAAAGCCAAACCACACCTGAACTGGCAAAATCCTTTTATGAATCTTTGCAGGAGAAAACAGAAATGTGACAGTTAATTTCCTTTACTGTGTTGTTTGTCTCAATCAATAAAAAAAAGGCCAAATACCACTCAAAAGTCTCTCCTGGGTATTTTGATAAAGTAGGAGTGAATAATCAATTTTGTTCATCTCTACAAAATATACATTTAAAAAACCATTTTTCCCCTATCCATTCATCCCCACAGGACAGATCTTTATTATAAGGAATACCCCCACCCCTGCAAGGAGTCATCTAGTCCTAGAAAAAAGCCACCAGCTGGCATTTGGGAACAGTCAAGTTATCTAAATAATTGGCATGACCCTCAACAAACCAAGACAAAGTGCAGAGCAAGTTTTACAATCAGCACCCATAAAATATTGTTGGGGGGGGCAGATATCAGACTTGTTGAATCTACTTTGTTTTTTACTAAGATTCCAAGATCTACCAACCAGAGCCAGGAACCAAAGCGAAATATTTAGAATCTAAAGAATAAGTACGTTTTGCATCTAGGAATTTGTAGTCAGCACTGCATTCATAGACTGTTTTATAAAAAATGATGCCGAATAGCTGGACTCCTTCAATTTATTAAAACTTTCCAGTGAAATTGACATGGTCCTGATGGGTGGTTCAAGAGGTAGCAAGAGATTTTGGAACAGTTTGCTAATTTGGACAAATGGAACAGACTTATTAAGAAAACTATGTTTAGGCATAAGATGAAACGAGGTCTTAGTTATCCTCCTTTGTTGGCCTATCAGCTTGTCATTTAAAACAGTTGTTATATAAGGGGTCTTTCAGTTCCATGGCTGCAAGCAGAAATTTACTATAATTGTTGTTGTTTATTTATACCCCACCCATCTGACTGGGTTTCCCCAGCCACTCTAATCCATCAGGCCAACATGCCGTTCCATAATTGAACATAACAGAGCTTCTGACCATAGAAAATCCCTTTTCTAAAATCCCTTTTCTATGGAAGGTTGGACTGAATAGGCCAAAAAGACTGCCACCTTTAGAGTCACTGTGAGTTCCAAATCTGGAATATAAGGAAATCAAGCAGGTTGATAAATTCCTTCACTTCCCAGGTTGGGAAGATTCAGGCCACTGTAGGCTGACAGATTTATTTAAGGATGGTAACCCTTTAAGACTGCAATAGATCACCCATATCTTGAGAGCCTTTCACCCATCTTGGCTTCAAGTAATGCAGATCCAGCACTCTACACAGAAGCGAGGCATATGTCAGACGAGCATTAAGAGTGGTATGAATAATCATGTATTCAGTCTGGCTATAATATGAAAGCGATGGTCTCTATTGTTTATAATGCGCTTACTGTAGAGATGGTTGGCACTCCCATGAGTGCTAAAACGGTATGGGAGTTAGCTTTAGGATGGGAATCCCTGCTGATGCTTGGGATGCAATGTGGCAGAATCCACCATACAAGTTCATTTCAGCTCGTATTCAAGAGGCTGCATTCAAAGCGATTCATAAATGGCATTGGCCGCCACTTCAATTACACAGAATAAATTTGGCTATCTCAGTGGAACACTGGTGAGGCTGTGGTGGAAAAGGTGGTCTTTATCATTTATGCTGGGGGCTGCAAATTAGTCAAACCTTTCTGAGAGGTTGCCTTTGCAAAAGCTTTGATCATCACTGGGCAAATACACCCCTCGACACAGCTCTCGCACCCTTAAACTGGATAACCCTGCAATAGTACAAGAGGGCTTCTCTCTTTACTGCTTGACCAGAGGTGGCTAGCCATTGGATAACATCCAATTTTACTCTGAATGGCTGGTTAGATAAAAATTGGGGCATGGCTCTTTCTGAATGTTTGGCATATCCCTATGAAGTGCAAAAGAAAAATGCCAAAACAGGCAAACCTGAAAGTGTTTTGCGTTCTTTCTTGACCTATGCTAATCTGGGTGGAGCCTTTTTACATACTGCTTTGTGGAGAAGGTATTTGCAAGTTTAAGAGAACAAAGCAAAGCTAAAAGTGTTAATAATCATTTTCTTTACTGTACAAGAATAACATGACCTTTTTTTTGCAAATTTCCTGCTGTGGCACCAAATTTGTTACAAGGGATTATATTTGTTTCTTTGTTTGTTTGTTTGCACTGTTATTATCAAAACTGAACAAAAATAATTATTTAAAACAATTTCCAGATCAGCGTTTGGAGATAGGCAAAAGAAACACTTTGATATAAACTGTGTTTGTAAAACAGAGATACAGTATTTTACAACTGCCCACATTTTCACATGTACTGGAAAATGCAACACATTATTTTAATCTAAGTAGTCCTTTGCATTACACACACACTTAGGCTGCAGTTCCGCGGAGCCTCTTCTGTTTGGGAAAAAAATCTGCAAATCTCCCCAGATATGCCAAAATGATGTATTCGCTTAATATCCCTGGGCACAAAGTAGGATAATGTGGTTGTGAAGAATGAGGAGGGAAGGGGAGGAGGGGAGGAGTTGGGGGAGGGGTCTATGTACTCAGTACCAATAGTTCTGTAAGCATTTCTACAGTCACAAGTTTGCAAAGAATACACAAGTTATGTGTATTTTGCAATTTCTAACGGCGTCTCAGAATGTTGCAGGCTGACTAGTTGCCTGCCTTCCACAAGCAGTATATTAATCATGACAGC